CCATCCCTGAAGGTGTTCAAAAAACATGTAGATGTGGCACTTTGGGAGATGGTTTAGCAGGCATGGTGGTGTTGGGTTGATGGTTGGACTAGATGATCTTAGGGGTGTTTTCCAACCTTAATGATTGTATGATTCTAACAGAGCCCCCAACAACCATCTTACAGCCTATGGGGTTGTTAACTCTGTTGTCTTCCCCTGCCTGTGGCCAAGACGTTGATGTACTTGTGTGTGTGCCTTGCAGGTAAGCTGGACATCACCCCAGACGACCCTCGGTGGATCGGTGCGTGGTGGGGAGGCTTTCTGCTGTGTGGTGCCTTACTCTTCTTCTCGTCCCTGCCGATGTTCGGGTTCCCGCAGTCCTTGCCCCCGCGGCCGGAGCACGCCGGGGAGAGCGAACAGGCCATGCTTCCCGAGAGGGACTACGAGAGACCCAAGCCAAGCAACGGGGTTCTGCGGCACGCGCTGGATGGGGAGAGCAGCACGAGCTGCTTCCAGCAGCTGCGAGGTGAGACACCGGCTCTGTTCACGTTTTCTGTGAGAGTCAGCAACAGCTTAACAGCTGGCTGGATTTATAATTGGTCTCTGATTCGGGCTATCTACCTCTACCCCCAAAATATCCCCCAAAAGCCTCAGTATCCTGAAATTTCAGTCCCTGGCTTCTAGTTATCTCTGGCATTGTCCTCATTTTAAAAAGATACTTTGTTCCACTTGAAAGGTTTGTGGTTTTTTTAAACTACAAAGCTTCAGAAATGCGCGATAGTCCTGTGGAGTTGATAAAAAAGTGAAGGGGAACACAGTTGCCAAAGCAATTTGTGAACTTCTCTCCAGTCTGCTGTCCTGCTCCCCTCAGCCTCCCGAAATGGAGAGCGAGCCAGCAAGGCCAGTTAAAAGAAACTGGGAGCTCCCAGCACGTGAGCTGCAGCTCAGTGCAATCCCAGATGGAAAGCGATGAGTGCTGGACACCACCACTGCTCTTGAACTGGGATGGGGAAGAGGTAGATACCGGTCCAGAATAGCAACTGGTAGAGCATGGCTTGTAGCAAATTAGAGTAGAAAACCCCATGTCATGTCCTGCGGTGATGGAAATGGACCTGGCTCTAATGAAGGTCAGCTAAGGATCCAGCATTTTGTGGGAGAGTGTGGGCAGATATCCCTTCCGTGGGCTGCACTGGGAAAGCCCTCACCTGTGAGGGTGGTTCTGTAGTACTGGCGGTTGCTTCCCACGCTCTGTCACTGTGGCAGAGCAGGTTTCGTTACTGCCTAACGCATTTAGATAAATGAGGACAAAATCACTTACTCCTCCTGCAGTCACATTAATTGGGAGTTGAATGACGTGTGGATGGGGAGGAAAAAAAGACTCTGGGGAAAAAGTGTTTTCTTAAATATGAAAATGTCTTGAATAGTTGATGTGGTTGCTCATTAAGGGAAGGTCAAAGATGTGAAGTTTTGACTTGATGAGAAAATTCAAAAGAAAGGTATAGGGATAAATTGTTTGAAAATTTGTCAGTAAAATTAATTTCTTCATCCTTTCATCCTTGTTGCAAGGATTTTCTCAAGTTTGAGGAATGGGCTTTGCCCACAGTACATCCATCTGGATAGTGCTGTGGCTTTAGTTGTGGGCTCATCAGAGCGTCTGCTTCTGGCCGCTGAGTTTTTGGAATGGGCCCTGGAAATTTTTGCAGGTTTTCATATAGAAAAATGAAAGAATGCGGCATGGCCCTGCAGCATGGAGGGGCAGCAGTTCTGCCCAAGGGCGGTGCTGAGCAAGCTGAGTTTCTTGCACGCAGGGAGGCCCTGGGCGATGTCTTGGTTTAAGCCAGCAGCCAGCAGCTGAGCACCAGACAGCCACTCTCACCCCCCTTCCCCCCCGTGGGATGGCGAGGAGAAGTGGGCAAAAGGGAAAACTCATGGGTTGAGATGAAGGCAGTTTATAAGACAACAAAGGAAATACTAATACTGCTAATGATACTATTAATAATAATGAACATAATGAATACACAAAATAAACTATATACAATACAGTTTTCTCACCATTCGATGATGAGTTTGCAGTCAGTCCCTGAGCAGTGATCACGAAGCCCAGAAAATCACGAATTTATAAATTTCACGAAACTCCCGAATAAGACCGAACTCCCGGAAAAGTTCAAACTTCCGGACAAGAGAGGATTTGAACCCATGGAAATGGATAAGAAAGATTCCTACCCCCTGGCCAACCCCCATTTATGTACTGAGCATGATGTCTGTGCTAGGGAATATTTCCACTGGCCAGCCTGGCTGTCTGCCTGGCTGTGCTCCCTCCCATCTCCTGAACACCTGCTCGTTAGCTGAATATGAGAAACTGGAAAAAAGTCCTTGATTTCATAGCAGCAACTGAAAACATCAATGTTATCAACATTCTTCTCGCACTAAATCCAAAACACAGCAGTTACTGGGAGGAAAATTAACTCTATCCCAGCTGAAACCTAGACAGGTCGGTTCCTGGAGCATCTATTACTCGTGGAAGTAGAGAAATTAAACTGCCACATCCACGTGTTTCAAAGTATGGGTTACATCAGGAGGCACCCCAGTCTTCCACGTTAGCCTTCTCATTGCAGGTAACCCCATTTCAGATCAATCAGCGTTCCAGAAGTTTCTTTGTAGAAGGACTTTGAAATACAATTTGCATCACATCAAGTAAGGCAGGGGATGACCTTTTTAGTTATGCCTTTGAGGCTGTCACAGACGAGGCGGTGTCGGTGGCTGCCATCTCCTTTCAAGTCCCTTGTCACAGTTGGAATGTGGTCAGGAGTCATGTTTGCTCGGAGGGGTGTGCAGACACGTACCGCGAGGGAAGGCGAGCGTGCCTCGCTCGTTCCTGGTGAGCAGGGTTTGAGGTGGTGGGTTGGATCTTGCTGTGTACAGACATTATTTTACCAGCAGCTGGAAAATATACGTGCATTCCTATGTGGTGGGACCTAGTGTCCTTAATCTGTGTGTTGGTTGGATAAAGTTTCCTTTGGGGAAAGTTAGACTGTTTAGCCCTTTTCCTAGGGTAAAAAGGACTGGATAATTATATACAGAGGTTAAAAATAGATGTGTGCCTGCATGGCCATGTCTTCTGCCTTTGGGGTTTGCCTGTGTTTGTGAAGCTGAACGGCAGAAGGTCTGCCTGTACGTGGGGCTGTGGGTGGAAACACTCATCAGGGCAGGCATGGCTGTGGTTCTTGGCTCCTTTTTAGCAAGCGTTGTCTCCGCAGCTGGGACCTGGGCAGGCGTGTGCCGCTGTAAGTCCATGCCTGCGTGGAGGTTTGGATCTCCTTCTGTGGAGATATGCAAGCCCCGCCTAGACGCGGTCCTATGCAGCCTGCTGTAGGTGACCCTGCTTTGGCAGACGGGCTGGACTAGATGACCCACAGAGGTCCCTTCCAACCCCGAACGTCCTGTGATTCTGTGATTCTGTGATTGTCCATCTCTTGTGCACAGTGAGAGGAGGAAGAGTTGTTTCTCTGGCCTGGTGTGCGAACATGCTCTGTATCAGCAGTGCATCCCTAGAGGCTGAACTGAAGCTTCTTTTTGGCTATCGAAAGTGTTTGATTATTTTTTATTTTATTTTATTTTTTTCAAGCATTGTAGAGCCTGCTGCAGGCGAGTGGACGTGGCAGAGGGGGCAGCGGGGCAGCATCAGTTGGAGACACGCTCCGGGGCGGGGGGGGGGCTGGCAGCATGGCGTGGCTGGCACATGGGGGGGTGCTCGAGGCGCTACAAGATTTGCTGAAAGACAGTGAGCTGCAGGGCTGGGTGAGGGTCCCTGGCTTTCTCTAGCCTTAGCATGATGACTAGAAAAGCTAAGACTAATGTCGAAGCAACCTGCTCAAAGTGTCAGAAAGTCTTTACATCTCTCTGAAGTTCTAAACAGGAGGAAGGGCCCAGCTTTTGGGAAGCCACGGCGTCTCCTCCTGTGGGGTATTTTCATGCCGGGAAAAGAAGCATCCTTAAGAGGAGCTTCGAACTTGAAACAAACCCCGTGCCTTTGAACGGCCCGAGGTGAAGAGGCGATGAAAGGCAGCAGAGGCGGCGGGTGGCTGCCACGGCAGCTCCGCGCAGGGCCGAGGCGGCTCAGGCGAGGAAGCTTTGGGACAGTCCTGGGAGGTGCTTACCCCTGCTAAACTGGCGTGTCAGTGCTGCACTGCCTTACCTGATTAGTATTTCGGTTAAGCAACGCGAATCCATTTTGGGAGCACAGGGAAGTGAAGGATTAATTGCAGGGAGAGGATGGGTAAACGCTGCTGTTGCTCTTTGCTCTCGGCTGGCAGCCTGGCGGGGTTGTTCAGCCCTGCGCTCTCCGTTCGGTCTGTGAAAGCGCTTCAGGCAAGGGCTGCAGCAGACTTGTTGTCCTGGGGACACAGCTTTGCTGTCCTACCTCTGGGCTGGCGTGGGGACTTCTCTGCTGTTTGGGGCCGGAGACGATGCTCGGCTGTGTCAGGGCACCTGTGCCCTCTGCTCGTGTCTGTTGGGCATCTGCCCTCTCACTCGGCGTTAACACGCTGCCTCCAACCCACCACCTGCTCCAGGATGTGCTTGGAAATATTTTGTTAAAATAGTGGGGGTTTTTTCGTATGGAAATGTCACTTCTACTGAATTGAGCGGTCAGTTCTGATGAAATTGGGTTTCAGAATGCTTTCTTGGCTTTATCTTTAACACCCCTGAAACATTCTGCTCTAAATGCATTTTGTTTTGCAACGATTTAAACCAGAAATTCATTACATTCTGCCTGTGTGTCTAGCAAGAGAGATTAAAAACCTAAAAGGACTGAAATTGATATGGAATCCTTCAGGTTTGGAGAGAGAAGCTCCTTCACAAGGAATTAAAAGAAAACTCACTGTGGAATTCAATGAATTTCAAAACTGCGAATTCCCTAGATTTGGAAACATTTTGTTTTCTGTCCAGCTTCATTCCCGAGAGCGCAGGAGAGCTGGGATCTACAGCTGACAGCTGTCTTGTCTTCTGTTTGGTTCCTTCCTGCTCTGTGTACCAAGCTGCTGAATACCTAGAGAGGGAGCTGCTCTGAATCCTGGATTTCTCTCCCCAAAAGTGCTCTCTGGGAGCAGACATGTAGTGCTGGGCCAGAAGTTCCCAGCTGTACCAGGGGGTCCCGGGCCATGGAGAGCCTGTAGTCCACGGTGGGACTTCATAGGATTGAGCAGGATTAAAGGCTAACACGCGTAGTTTTAAACTCTAACGAGTTCGTAGTGACAACCTTTTGGAGAGGGCTCCACCTGTACCTTCATCCACGGCCAGAGCGGTGAGTCTTTGGCCCAGATCTAGATGGCTACAAGAGCTTAATGCCTTTTTGGATTTGAGTCTTGGCTCCCTGCCAACATCTAAAAGGCTTGCTGAGAAACCCTAATCTGAGGTAAGGGCATGGTGGGTGATCATTAAAGGCCCCACATCAGGCCCTGTCAGTCTCCAAGTTTCCTTTGGCTTGGGTTTCATGAGGATGTGGGCTTTTTGGCAGGTTCTTCTTGGCTGTTTCAAAGCCATCATCTTTGTTATCAGAAGCATCGATTAGTTCAGAAAGGCCTTCAGCCTTCATGCTTCAGGGCAGAAGCTGAGCGGCAGCTGAGGTCAGGCAGAGTGTATCTGTCTCTGAAAAGATACTGTGCCTTGCCATGACCTCCGTGACGCGGGTGAGGGAGGTTTCTGTCCCCCTCTGAAGTTGAGCAAAGGTGGTTGCTGGAGACAGGCTGATAGACTAGAAGGACCTGCTTGCCATGCATTGGAACATCACTGTTGCTTCAAGCCTGTATCTTTCAAGAGACCTCTTTGGCATAGGCATCATCCTTTTCCATCATATCCTTAGTGATACTAATTTTGCTAAGGCCACATGGGCTTCAGCATATTCAACTCACCTTCTTCAGCGCCTCTTTCCTTAATCCATCTCTTTTTTGGGTGCTATCTCTTTGCAGGATGTATTTTCTTCTTGCTACCTGCACTATGTTCTTCATCGCTTATTCCTCAAGCCAGGTGGAGATTTTGCCTTTTGTTTTCTATTCACATCTGAGGCTTGCTGCCTATGTTGCTATTAGAAAGTAGTATTTTGGCTCAACGCTGCATTTTGCCTTTCCCTCACCACACTGTCCTAGGTGGACTGGGCCGTAAACCTCCCTCTAATATATTACTTTGCTTTCTGTGTTCCTCATCTTTACTGCAAATTGAAAACATGTCTCTGTAGGGTGCTCCAACTGGAAAAAGGGGCCTTGGTGATTGTAATGTTCCAAACAATTCATTTCAAGCACCAACGTGATGATTATAGTTTGTCGTTTCTAGAGAGTAGTTAAACCTCATGTAATGAGGTTGCCAATTATCCCTGGTACTCCCCGATGTTTAGTGACAAATCAAAGCTACTTGGTGTACGTGAGCGTGTTTGCTTGTCAAGCCCATGGCCCGTCGTCACCCACAGCTGGCCCCACAGCAGAAGATAGGGAGGATGCTTGGGGTGTTAAAAGGTGGGAAGTCGAGGGACTGGCAGGGGTGTTGGAGAGCTCTGGGACATCCTCCTGGGTCGTTTCCAGCCTATGGATGATCCTATGACCAGTGCTGCACATGGATGGTCTAAAGAGTTGGCTTTTAAGTACTTCAGCCGTGAAAAGAGGCTGAGGTGTTTTCTTCTTCTTCTCAGTGTATCTTGGCAATGAGAATCGCTTTTCTGTGTCGTTTCTGTAGCATGTTGGGTGCATTGGGACACGGATGTTAAATGAGCTGGTCCTTCTGAGCGTGGGAGGGTGAGTCTTTCTGTGCTGTGTCTGATGCAGCTCGTGGTTCTCCAAGTAGATTTCTGAGACTCTTTAGAATCCGAAAGACCTTTCCCTTTTCCCATGCGGCGAATGGGCTTCAACCTCAGATTTATAGCTCCAAAGTGCTACTAGAAAGTGTTCAGCTAACCTTTGGGCCAACAAGGTGCAGGGTAACGTTCAGCATGACTTTTGCTGGGATGGGCTCCAGTGAAGAAGCGCCATGCTTAGCTGTTGTGTTCCCCAGGGCGTTACTGTCCCCCATCAGACATTTTCCATTCCCCCTTCATACCCAGCACCATATGCCAGGCAGCTGAACGCACGTCACTCTGGTCTACTGAGAGATTTTTAAACTTCACTGCTGACTTTTAGTCTTGTTCCCAGAGGTATATCACCCCAAGAACTGAGACAGATAAGGCAGCAGCAGGTGTCAAATGATTCATCTTAACGGGTAGCGGTAGCAAGATACTCATTTCTATGGGGACCCTCCTGTCATTTCCCTTAGAAAATGAAAGGGAACGAGCTGGCCCTGGCTGAGGAGATAGATGGTGGAGGCTGCCAGGCGTTGCCTGCATTGCCTCTGCACTCTTTGCACTGGGTTTTTTTACCCTCCAGCTGGTACAGAGCCCTGTTGCAGTAGACAGTGGTCAAAGATGCAGTGGAGGACAGGATCTGTCCCAGAAAAGTCGCACCCAGACATGCAGGGAGGAGAAGCGATGATGAAGTCGTGGGACTCACAGCCCAGCGCTGCCAGGCAAGGCAGTCACGAGGGCCTCCTCTCTTGCGTGACAATTTGTGCTGTCCATCTCTAAGTACGAAGGATGGATTTTGACCTTGGTAATGCATGGTGGTTGGGTACCAGCCTTGCCAGCTTCAGAGATGAATGTGCATGATCTTTAACTCCCTCCTGCGAAAGACAGGCTGTCACTGTTATTATTTGGTGGACGAAGTAAGAGCTAGACCTTTGTGTCTTTGCATTTGCATTGGCACAAAGCTACATCTCGAGGAATCCATTAATCTGGAACAAACTGAACTCCAGAGGCACAACAGGCATTAATACCTTAAATATGGCTTTCCACGCTCAGTGCTGCCAAGTCCACCTTTGCATTTTCCCTCTTTTTCCTGCCAAGAAGGAGAAGTTCTGTAGGTGGCCACCAAAGAACTGAAGGAGGCAGCAGGTGGCTTCTGAGATCTCTCCGCATCTGAATCCCCCCACCCCCGTTCCTCCCTCACAGTTTTTTTCCTTTTTTTTCCTCTTCCCCCCTCCCCCAATTCTGCTAAAAAAATACTATGCCTCATGCACCTTCATTATGTTCAGCAAATCCTCAGGAAGCAAGAATTTTATACAGCATGAAAAACATTTGTGAGATAAAGAGACCAGAAACTGTGGAGTTGCCCCTTCCAAAAAGGGTGGATCAAGCCTAATTATAAGCTGCTTTTTTTTCCCCCCCCAAAGAAAGAACCAAGGGGACCCAAGCAGAGCCTTGACAAAGAGCTGTGCATTTACTTGCTGAGGCCAGTACAATTAGATTTTGCACCAGAAAAATCCCTAAGGGGAAACAGAAGCCAACACCAGGGAAATCTGTCATCTGCCAGACCCTGGTACACCATAGGAGATGTGGGGGATGGATTTGAAAAATGCAAATAGGGGTCCATTGAGGCTTCACTACTCTTCAGCGAGGTGATTTTCAAACTTAATGATTTTCACTTTTAATTCAGGAAGAAATTAGTCATCAGGTATTGAGACAAAGCAAGGCTCTCTTCTGCACTGGGATGCTCTCCTCTTCAAGCTGTGTTATCTCAGCAATAATTAAAATGTTCGCTGGAGTAGAAAATGTGCTATCTGATTCATTAGCCAGATTTCCCTTTGTAAGGTAACTCGTGTTCGCTTATCGGAAATAGAGACGGGCTTGGGGAAGAGGACTCTGGACGCTAATGATTTGGGAGGGAGGAGCAAGGGATCATGAAACCAAAGCAAGCGTGTGTGCATCTTACACAGTGAACAGCTCAGTGTGTCCTCTTCCGCCCTTGGAGCCACCGAGGCTGGTGGGGCCTACATGGAAGGCATTGCTTGGCTGGTGAAGCTCTGGTTTATGGAAACACACAGGCTCACATGCCTGTCTCGGGCGTGAGATCCCTTATGCCCATGGGTGGCTGTGGTCCCGGGCTAAGCAGGAGAACTTCAGCTTGCACCCAGATGTGCTGCAAGAAGGTGTCCCTCAGCAAGAGAGCCAGTGTTAGGTGGGAATAAGAAAATGAAGCCAGTCTGGGTGGCAGAGGAAGGGAAGTCCACATGTGAGCTGGTTAGCTTGTGTCTGAAAGCTTGCAAGAGTACAGTACTCATGACACCCATCGACTGGCTCAGCGTTGTTCGTGGGGAGCAGGTAGGGAACTTAAGGAGAAAGAGGATACTAGGCTTTGATTGACTCCCTATGGAGGAAACAAAAGCAATATTGGAAAAGACTCATCCTTCAAAATATCAAAATCATCTATAAGATGTAAATGTAATGACAGGTGGCTTCTTTTAGCACCCTCCTGGTATCTGAATCTTTAGATGACACTGTTCTGGTGTTTCACTTTGTTCTGGTGTTGCCACATTTCAACCAGCTTGTCTGTGCAGAGTAGAGAATTGCTCCTCATTTGAAGTGAGTTTGTCCTGCTGGAGAGCAGCAAGGCACCTCCAGCACCTCCAGCAGAGCCTACACAAAAACACCTCTCCCTTTTTCCTCTCTTCCAGTGATCCCCAAAGTAACTAAGCACTTGCTCTCCAATCCCGTCTTCACCTGTATCATCCTGGCGGCCTGCATGGAGATCGCGGTGGTGGCCGGCTTCGCCGCCTTCCTGGGAAAGTACCTGGAGCAGCAGTTCAACCTCACCACCTCATCTGCCAACCAGCTCCTGGGTGAGTAACCACAGGGGCCACGGAGTCTCCAGTGTCCACAAGCATTTAAGAGTGTTCAGCATGGCTGGTATCCGCAACCAGGCTCATTGGTTAGGCTGCCCAAAAAGTGACTTGGCCAACATCTAGAAATGTGTCCATGAGTGGGAGAGCTGGGGTCCAGCTGTACCTTGGCTGCAGAGCCCAACACAGACCTCCAGCATCCCTCCTCCTTGACTGTGCTCTCCACTGTAGCCTGCTGCAATCGCTTCCCCTACAGCCGAGCCCATTGCCTGAGAAGAGGTATGATACCGCCAGGGTATGAAAGTCTGTGATGGCCCTGAAGTACAGCAGAAATCCCAACCAAACTGGGCCATTTGGTTGCCCAAGACTGCAGCTTGTCACTGAGCGACAAGGATGCCCATTGAACTGCTTGTCTCATGGTTCAGGTATGTCTCGTGGTTCTCATGTCTCATGGTTCCATGCTGACGGAGCACTGGAACAGGTTGCCCAGAGAGCTTGTGGATTCTCTTTCTCTGGAGATATTCAAGCCCCGCCTGGACAAAGTCCTGTGCAGCCTGCTGTAGGTGACCCTGCTTCAGCAGGGTGGTTGGACCAGATGATCCACAGAGGTCCCTTCCAACCCCTACCATGCTGGGATTCTGTGATTCTGTATCCCAGAGTTCTCCAGCCCATCTCCATTTGGGTTAGGAAGACCAGTTTCTCCTGCTAGTCCCTCCTTTCCCCTTGGACTGGAAATGACAGGATTGCAATCAGCAGTTCAGATGCCCAAGGTAGTGGTGCAGCTTGGTTGTCTTTCAGACACCCCTTCTCTCTGACCATGCTGTGCTGCTGCAGTTTCCCATATATATTTCTCAGTGTTCACTCGTTCCCTATCAGGACCCTGATGCACAGGCAGGATCTTCATTTGTTTTCTCCTGCTGCTCATTCCCAAGCAGGCCCAGCGATTTGTTTCTGACAGCCATTCTCTCAGCAGCACCCAATTAAGATATCTGCAAGTTAATCTTGGATCATCTGCAACCATAGCTTGCCAGATGGGCAGCTGGCAGTGATCTGTCAAAAACTGCGACATCATGAAATGGAGGGATCTTAGTATCAAAACAAGGAGCTTGCAAGCTGCTCTCCTGACAATTATTTATTTTCCCTTTGAACTCATTGATATCTTCTGGCTTTGGCCTAGTTTTCCAAAAGAAACGATCCCCTGCAGTCAGTCTCGCCTCCTCCAGCAACATAGGAACCCACTGGTGAATTTTAACAGGATTTGACAGAAGGGCAGAGGGCTCAAAGATATTAGGCTCTTCCATCTTTCCTGAAAATTAAAGGTTTGGCAAAGGAAAGCACTTCACTGTTGACTTGCTGGGAGAAGGCAAACCGCTGCACCGTTTGGTAGGAGGTGCCTGGCCAGCCAGTGGGAGTACAGCTGGATGGTCACCCGTGAGCCAGAGCATGTCCTGCTTCTCACCTGGCACTGGCAAAGGAGACTTTGATACGCCCATGGTGCTCACAACCATTCGTTTAATTTAAGCAAAGCTGCTGCCAGTTTTCCCACATGACAGTTATGGGAGTCCAGAAGTGCCAGGATTTGGGTGCACTGCTAAGCTTAGCTCAAGTAGGTAAGGTCTGGAGTATAACTGGCAGAAAAGGGATAAAAGTGAACCCAGGCAAGCTGAGTGTGATAATGCCTTTCTGTGCCTGGAAAGTGAGTCACTTGTGGCAGTGATTTTGCATCTCACAGCTTAAGAAGATTCTTTAAGGGATGCTTCATATTTTCAAATGCGACTATTGCCTCATCTCTGAAGATCAGCCTTCTGTGAAGTATACCAAGCAGGGCTCATCCAAAGCCTCTAGACACCATGGAGAATTCTTGACTTTATTTGTCTGCCAGCTGTTGCAGGAAGCATTAGAGAGCACCAAATCACAGAATGGTAGGGGTTGGAAGGGACCTGCAGGGTTCATCGGGTTCATCTAGTCCGACCCCCCTGCCGAAGCAGGGTCACCTCTGCGCAGGACCTTGTCCAGGCGGGTTTTGAATATCTCCAGAGAAGGAGACTCCACAACCTCCCTGGGCAACCTGTGCCAGTGCTTCATCACCCTCAGAGGGAAGAAGTTCTTCCTCATGTTCAGACAGAACTTCCTCTGCTTCAGTTTGTGCCCGTTGCCCCTTGTCCTGTCGCTGGGCACCACTGAGAAGAGTCTGGCCCCATCCTCCTGACACCCACCCTTGAGATATTTGTAGGCATTTATAAGGTCCCCTCTCAGTCTTCTCTTCTCCAGGCTAAACAAGCCCAGCTCCCCCAGCCTTTCCTCATAGGAGAGATGTTCCAGTCCCCTAATCATCTTTGCAGCCCTCCCCTGGACTCTCTCCAGTAGTTCCTCGTCTTTCTTGAACTGGGGAGTCCAGAACTGGACACAGTACTGCAGATGGGGCCTCACTAGGGCAGAGTAGAGGGGGAGGAGAACCTCCCTCAACCTGTTCGCCACTCTTCTAGGCTGATGTTGCTGCTTAGGTTAGGGTGGGCTAATTTCAGCACTTTTGGCATGTCCCTCCAATAGAGATGAGAACTAGATGAGGATTGCGGTTCCTATGTACGAAGCAGCATACCTGTTTGCATCCGCCCCTCTCTTTTTGGGCAACCCCAGCTTGGTGCTACCCCAGCAGGTGGTCATTACAAGGTTTCCCCATGATCGTGCACCGATCTCTCTGCTGGAAAGTAAAACGCTGTAATAGTGTGGTTCACTGAGCCTCACTCACACTTCTTGCTAACTGATTTTTCCTCTTGCAGGGATGACAGCAATCCCATGCGCATGTCTGGGCATATTCTTGGGTGGCCTCTTGGTGAAGAAGCTCAGCCTGTCTGCTCTGGGAGCCATCAGGATGGCCATGCTGGTGAACCTGGTGTCCACAGCTTGCTACGTGTCTTTCCTGTTTCTGGGATGCGACACAGGACCTGTGGCAGGGGTTACTGTTCCCTATGGAAACAAGTGAGTCCCGAGAGAGTTTCAGGGTCTCACGGAGCCTCACCAACATAAATGCCTTGTTATTGTCCTCAACAGGCAGCCTGCAGGCAGCGCTGGCCCTTAGACAACCACACAGAGCAAGCATATAGAAGGCAATGTCATGTAGGGCTCTTAGTTTGGGAGGTTTTCGTGCCACTCATTGCTGTGAGAGTTGAGTACCTGCAGCTGACGACGGAGTTTTACTAAAATTGGTCAAGCTGAATTGAAAGGTGCCAGACCTGATTCTGCACCCATGGGCACCTACCTAGCATTGGGTCCACTGCTCCATCTGTCTTCTCCTGGCAGTGAGGGACATGCACTGCTTTGTACATTTATTTAAGTGCCTGGAGGGAATTTGTAGAACTAGGTGTTAGATGTCTGGAAATTCAGATACGGTGAGGAGAGAGTATGCGTGGCTCCAGGCCCATTTTAATGGGAGAAATGAGGCAAACGGTGCCCTGTAGCGTTCACAGGCCTTGGAGAGAGTCATTCCGTACTTTCTTTTCTGGTGCTCCTCAGTGTACAGTAGCGACTTTTATAGACGATGACAACTTCAGGCTCTCAGCTCCTCCTGGTTACTGTTCTAGAAAAATACGGAGCAGTCTGCACAGCGTCTCTTTGGGTTTCCTCGGGGCTTCTCCTTGTGGTAGCAAGGCAGCACAAGCCTCGCATTAGGTTCCCTGTTGCAGAGGGATAGTGGCCATGGCATGTCCGTCCCCAACAAGAGGCTGTAGTGTGGATTTCTTAAAGCTGGGATCCAGATAGCCTGCTCACTGCTTTTTGCAGTTTGTTTGCCTTAACTACCCCCCTTCAGAGCCATCTTTGTGTGGCAATGATGGAAAAGCTGGCTGATGTCATCACACACCCATTAATGTCTTCTTCTGCTTCCCTTACAGCTCAACTCCAACCTCACCTCTGGACCCGTATTCCCCCTGCAATAACAACTGTGAATGCCAAACTGATTCCTTCACTCCAGTCTGTGGGGCGGACGGGGTCACGTACTTATCTGCCTGCTTTGCTGGCTGCAGCAGCACGGTGAGTGGGCTTTCCTGGGGACCGCTCGCCTGCAGGAACGATTCTGTGAGTGCGAGTGCGTGAGGTTAGTGCGTGTCTGGTAGAGTAGCTCGTTTACAGCCACTAGCGGTTACTGCCCCAAAAGCTAACCTCAAACCTCAGGTGGGCGTGAGCTGCTCTCATTTTTCACTCTGTGGCCTAAATGCCCGCTGACTCCGGCAGCAGTCTGCCTGGGTCACCCACAGAGCGGGATGGGATTTCCCATCCTCCTCCTCCGGTCTTTCTCCTCAGCACAGAAGGAAGGAACACGAGAGGAGATCTGCACGGCTGTGCACTGGCAGAGCCCAGATCCTCCGCGAGAGCTCGCTAGCCCAGGCTGGGGGACCAGCTTCTCTTTTCTGCTGCAGCTCCTCATCTCCATGCTTCTCCACCTGCCCGTGTTTGCCCTGCCCAATCCTTTTGTTCTTTTTCTTCTTGCTGTTTTCCTGAGTCTGGTTCCTAGACAGATATGAGCAGATCCAGGTTTTATTCACCCTTGTTTAAGCTTCCTTCCACTCCTCTTGTTTTTCTCTAATTCCCTGTTTGCTCTGAGGCAGTACAACAGCAGTTGTCAAGGGAGCAGGGACTCCATCCAAAGACATTCTGCATTTTTCAGTTCTCCATATGTAAGAGTTTATTTCCTTTAGAAAACTCTTGAAGACTAAACCATCTCTGTGTAAAGAAGATGTGGGGAATTTTTAACAGTATCTTAAAAGCCTGCTTTTCCGTTTTCTGCTGCTGAAATGCTAATGTCTTCTGGGTTACGCTGAAAAGGAGTGCCTGCCACTCCTGTGAGTGGGAATGGGTTCCTGCTGTCCTTGCTCCCTGCCTGGGGCTGTGCCAGCCATGGTGACCGCTGCCACACTGCCTTCATAGAGCCCATGGGAGGTCGGCCTGGTCACGGTAACCGTTCATGGCAGCAGGGACATCAGTGCTCACCACATGGAATTATCCCTCAGCAGCTTTGTCCTACCTTTTTGAGGAGACATCAAACCTCCCTTCCTGCCCTAAAGAGACAAATGGCCTGCGAGTGCCAGTGAGCGGAGGTGCTGGCTCGCTGCTAGCAAGTGCAGTCTCACAGCCCAGACGACCTGGGAGCTCATCCGGCTTAAACGTCTTCTCTCCTCCTTGGAGGTGTAGGCATCCCTTTGAAGTACCACGAAAGGTACTTTCAGCAACCCCACAAGGGACTTGACGACTGCGAAGGCGTTACCTCCTGCCCTCTTCCTCCTCCTCCTCCCAACAAGAGACAGGTCAACACCTGGGGTGGCAACGCCATCATTTTAACAAGAAGCCGGCTTGTGCAGGCCACACAGAATGGTGTCTCGCTGATTCCCAAGCCTGTAGCAAGACTACTGTGTCCGGTTCTGGGCTCCCCAGTTCAAGAAAGATGAAGAGCTGCTGGAGACAGTCCAGAGGAGGGCTATAAA